GGGTGGTGTGGGAACATGGGGGGACAGCAGCGCAGCGTGCGCATGCGTGCGTGTGCGCGCGCGTGTTTTTGTGTGTGTGTGTGTGTGTGAGTGTGTGTGTGTGTGTGTGTGTGTGTGTGTGTGTGTGTGTGTGTGTGTCTGCACGTGTGTGCTCGCACACATGAGTGTGGTGTGCGAACGTATACTGCAACCTCTTTGGTTCGCGACTCGTCCCCTTTCATCTGCACGCTAATCACCCCGCCAGTCCTCCTCCTCGTCGCCCCTTACCCAAAACACTCTCCCCTTGACCTCGAAATCCTTGTTAAACGGCACCCTGGTATTCCTTAGCAAACCACACCCTCCCCCCTGCCGTCGCCGCCCCAGGTGCCACTACTGCCAGGGCACCGGCTACCTGCCCTGCGGCCACTGCATCGGCAGCGGCGTCGACCCCGCGACGCTCCGCCCCTGCGCTGACTGCGCGGGCACGTCCAAGGTCATGTGCACCGGCTGCCTCTGCACCGGCAAGACCATGGCGACCGAGGTCGGTTTGACTCATTGGACGCGCCGCGGCAAGAGGGCAAAAGGGACGGGCTGCGCGCTGCATGCGTGATGCTGCCTTCACGCTGCCATGTGCATTGGTGATGCTTACTCGCCTTCGTATACCTACTTCTACCTTCCCCTCCCCTCGCTTACGCCCACCTACCGCGCAGCACGACCCCCGCATCGACCCTTTCCAGTGATCTGCAGCGATCTGGATCTGGTCAGATCTAGGAGCCAACGCCGTCAACAAAGCGTCCTTCAGCCTTCATAGCTCCTGGCGTGGATGGTTTGAGCCGAAAGATTTGGCCCTGTTGATGCGGGCCCCCACCCTAGCGCGAGCTCGCTGGCGCATCCCTGCCTGCCCGTCCATTTCCTCTGCCGCGGCCACCCGATAGCCGGCAGCACTTGCAGCGCCTGCGCACGCCCATTGGCATGCGCCGCATTGGTATGCCGCGACTGCCGTCACGGCGCCATTGTTTTGCAGGGAAAGGATTGGGCGATGACAGGCCCCCTTTTGAGTGCGAGCCGCCCCGGGCGCATACGTGGCCAGAGGACCAACATTGAAATTCCAGGGCGGATTTCAAGGCTGAGCTTTGACTGTTTGTTGACCGCAATAGGGCCTTCACAATGAAAGGCGCTCATTGCATATCAATTCAACGCCCATCTCGTGACGCTGCCGACCAATTTTGCCGGCAAGCATGCTGCAAGCACACTTCTTTCTGGGAGCTGCGTCGGTGGCTGCGGCAGCGGGGGCTGATCCGTTTCACCCAGCAGCCCTGCCGGGTGCGGCGCTAGCGGCTCAAGCCCGGCTCTGGCCAGGCCTTGGCGCCCCATGGCTGCGACATGTAACGACAGACCTGCAGCTCCATGCGTCGCACGGCGCTCCTCCATCGCTAATCAGGGGCCAGGCATGCTGGTCTGGCTGTCGTAAGCATGAGGCGGCAACCTTACAGGGGTGAATTTGCGGTGTGGCGGGCGGCGCCAGGGCACCTGCCGCAGCGAGCGCGCCCTCATGAGGGCATGCACGCGGCCTGTGACATTGCCAGCGGCAGCACCCCCTACCGCATCCTCAGACAGGTCGACGTTGCGGCTTGCGCGTCCCAGTGCGCTCAAAGCGGCGGCCAGTTGAGGAAAGCAGGCCGAGTCCCAGCAAGAAAGTCGGGTCCACACGCCTGCCGTCAAGGGCCCTCATGAAATAGAGAAACACCTGCAGCACAATCAAATACAAGACGGCGCCTCGCTTCTCTCATCAATCAACGAGCGCAGCTTGGCTGGGGAGGCCCGGGAGGCTTTCCGCCGGGGTGCAGAGGCGCCAGCTCAGCGCGGTGCCGCGGGCGGCCCGCGTGCTCCGAAGGCCCGGCGCATGAGGGACCGGGCAATGCAGCGATTGAGGGTCGGTGCGCGGTTTGCTGAGCGCGCGGGCGGGGCGGGCGCGCGGTGGCTCGCCGGCCGTGCCTCTCGCGCATGGGACGGCGTCCCGCATAAGCGAGAAACCCGGCAGGCACATGCCCGAACGAGCAGTGTCTTCACTGCATCAAGAATTATGTACAACGTCAATTATATACAACCTCAATGGGTGAGCGGCCTGCCTCTGCCAACTGTTTCAAAGTAAAAAATTTGACAAAGCCGATGGTGGGTGCAGCAGGCCGCCGCGACCCATCCGCTGCGACCCATCCGCCAGGATGCGACGCAGCCGGACGGCCGACGAAGCGAACGCCGCCCGCGCCCCCGCTGCCCGCGCCCCTGCCACCGGTCGCCGTGGCGCCGGGGCCGCCTCTGGCGTTCAGCGGCAAACAGGGCAGCCGCGGTCTGCGAATTTCAGCCTGCGAACTGGGTGGTGCCTCAGCTCTGTTCAACAAGTCACTCTGCCCTCAGCGCCATTGCACCAAAGTAGGGCAACAGCGCCTCGACATCGCTGACCATACCCCTGACCCCCGCCCCCAGCAGCTGCCGGCCAGCCGGCCCCAGCCACGCGTCGAAAGAGGCCTCGTCGATCTGTCCGAGGTTGTCTGCCTCGTCATCGCCAATCGGAAGGTCTGGGGATAGGCGCAGCTGCACAGCGTCGGGGCCCTGGGGTTGGAGGTGTGTGTATTTGTGTGTGTGTGTGTGTGTGTATGCGTGTGTGTGTGTGTGCTTGTGTGTGTGGACATGTGTGGCACAGTGACTGTGTGTGTGTGGTTGCGTGTGTGCATGTGCGCAAGGGGTGCATACACACACGCAAATACACATGCAAACAAACACGCAGACACACACGCAAACACACGCAAACACACGCAAACACGCACACACCCAATCGCTCACTCTCACATAGCTTTACACTCGTTACAATACAACAGAGGCACATCATGTGGCTAGTCACAGAGAGCACGAAAAGAACAAAAAAAGATACTCTTACATGTGTGTGGCAGACACACAAATACTGTAAGAGGCAGAGCTGCAGCCGCAGGAAACCCCAAGAAACACGCCAGAATTGAGCCGTCATCACCACAACCCTTTCCCCACCCTCAAAAATATCCCTGTCTCTCTCTTTCTCTCTCGCTCTCTCTCTCTCTCTCTCTCACGCACACACAACACACGCAGACACACAAGAAAAATCTGCCCTGCTTGCTCAAGCCAGCACACACTCAGCCCACCTCCAGTGCGGGGCTATCCTGCAGATCTGACAGCACGCGCGCCGGCAACACCAGGTAGTCACAGCCCGCCAGCGCCAGCGCATCTGGGGGATTCAGGGTTTAGGGGAAGGCGGCAGGCCGTGGTGGATGGCAGGTGGGTAAGGGGCAGACGGGCGGCCGCGCGGACACGTGCCATCAAAACCAACGCCCAGCCCGCACGCTGGCCTGCCCCCAAAAGATGAAACAAACAGCCATCTCTCCCACCGCCTCCCACGCCGCATGCCCCACGCCCACCGTGCTTGGTGCGGATGCCCGAGGCCATCACGCGCGTCCGCGGGTGGTAGGCCTTGACATAGCCGTACAGCCGCTCCACCAGCTGGAGCCCGGGGTCGTCCACAGCACCAAACCCGCCGCGCCGCCGGCGGCCCTGGGGGCGGCGAGGGAGGGCAAGGGGGAGCGTGCATTCAGGGCTGGGAGCGGCGGGTGCGAGGGCCTGGTGTGATCGGCCTCGCAGCAACATTAAGGATTCAAACCTTACTTCTTGATGCTTGTAACCAAAAGTGCAGATACTGCAAAAGAGGCATGCAGCCTGTGGCCAACCCATGCAAGGGTGTGTGCATTCCGTATCAGCATTTGTCCACCTGCCAGGCACCGTCCCGGGAGAGAGGCGTGCGGGCCCCCAGCTGTCTACCCGGGCCGTTTGGATATCCAGTCGGCCCGAGCCTCCGCCATGGGGCCAGGCGCCAGTTGCTGCAGCCCCGGGACGCCCAGCTGTCGCCGGAGTGCGTTTGAATCGCCTCACCATGGGCTCGTGGATTGCGCCCGGGTGCTTGTTGTTCCAGTCGCGCGCGCGCCCCACGTTGGGCTGGATCACGCTCACGCCCGCCTGCGCCGCAGCCACCCCTTGGACGAGGCTGCGGGGGCCGAGGTTGGCCAAAATGGTCAGTCGGTTGGTCAGTCGGTTGGTCAGTCGGTTGGTTGGTTGGTTTGTTGATTGGTTGTTGGGTCAGTGTGTCATTTGCTCTATTGATTTTGAGTTTGCAAGTGCAGGAATTGGCGTATGGTTGTTGAAAAGAACATATTGAGGAGCATAGGGGATGAGAGGCTATCAGCGAGTGCTCAGCCAGGAGATGACGACACCTCGGCGGCAAGTGGCAGCGCGCGCGGCGGCGACAGCAGGAGGCGTGCAGCTGCGTTGCGGGCCGCCGCGGAGCCGCGCGTGCCTTAAGCGCGGAACCCGCACTTTCCGCGGCCAGGAAGCCGCCTTGAAGCCACGGCCGGAGGCAAGCTGGGACAACAAGAAACCACACCACTACCACCACCAGCAGCAGCAGCAGCAGCAGCAGCAGCAGCAGCAGCAGCAGCAGCACCAGCAGCAGCAGCAGCAGCAGCAGCAGCAGCAGCAGCAGCAGCAGCAGCGGCGCGAGCCCGTGCATCCCGCCCACACGGCCCCGGCCCACCTGTACACATGGACCGCCTGCGTCGCCACCCCCTCCCGCTCCAGCACCGCCGCCGCCCTGATTCCCGCCCAGGTCGCGGGCACCCTGAATATGAGCTTATCTTGGGGCACCCCCAGCTCGTCATACAGCTCAGATAGGAAGAACGCCCGGGACACGAGGGCGCCTGCGGGCACGCGGGGCGGCAGGCGGGGATCGTTTGCAATTTCGTTTTGCCGCAGGCCAAGGTTTCGGCCGGGGATAGAGACGTCGCTGCAGCTGGTTTGCGGGGCCGTGGGCGACCCAAAATGGGTGCGGGCGCCGCCGCGCGCTTGCCGTTTGGGCGGGGTTGGAAGAAAGTGCAGCCGCCCAGTGTTTGCAGCGGCATCAGCGCGGGCGTGTCGGGTGTCCGCGAGCATGTCACGCGCGCGCTCGGGTGCCGCGTGCGCGGGCGTGCATTGACAGCCACGAGAGGCAGCTACTGATGCGGCCGATACAACATGCACGAGGACTGCGATCGAC